GGGCCGGTTCCAGTCAGCACAGCCGGGCCAGTCGCTTTAGTAGACAATTTATTTTGATAAACTTTTTCAATAACAAAAATACAAGTGAAGAAAATTATGTTCATTTTATACAGTTTGTATTAACATTTGTTCGGAAATCATTAATTGAAAAATGTTCTAACCAATTAGAAAACAATCCTCAGTAAAGGCCGGGGCGGGGGACGCAGACGGTCAGGCCTCGAGCGGGGAGCGACGTGACGCCCAGACAGGACAACCCCCTTGCAGACACCATTTCCTTCATTATTTTCATCCTTCACAAAGGCTTTAAAGGACAGCTTTCGTTTCTGTGTGTGTGTGTTGGGGCGAACAGCAATCTACAGTCGCGTTCTGAAGTGGTGGAACCACGGCCCTCAAACACAGGTGTGAGGGGAGGGCCCCGACCTGGTGGCTTCACGGCAGCCAGGGCGCAGGGCTCCGTGGGTGTTGCGCACTAGCAGCGTCTTCGGGGAACTGGTACCACTCGCCAGCAAGATTAACAATGGAAAGCGATGCTAAACGGATAGACCGGTGCATTCAGCGAAGCACACGCTCCCCAGGTCTGAGACAAACAGCTTCCAGGCGGTTATTTCAGCGGAGCTCAGAGGTAAGATTTACACAGACAAATTAACCAGTTTTCCTTCTGAAGGTATTTTAAGCTTCTGATCTGACATTTTTTTAGCCAAGTAAACGACAAAGTGTGCACAAATTACATTATGAAGGGACATCAAACCTTTTGGGGAATTTTGAAGCAAAAGACTAAATAAGAATCTCTACTGATGTATGAAATGAGCTGTCCTTCAAAAAGTTAAAAAAAATGGCTGGCAGAACCAGAAAAGTTTATGTAAACACTCAACACAAATATGGGATTACCTTTGGAGAAGATTCATATGGAAACATTTGCTTTTCATGAACTGAAAAAGTCTACAGATGTTTAGGCATGTTCAGTACAAACTTCCTGTAGTTTAAAACAAAACCTTGTGCAAATAAAACCTATAAATAGTCTTCAGCAGATTTTACAGTGATACTCTTAGGTATGAAAAGAATGCACACAACTTTAAAACAAAAGTAACAGACATAAGTTTGACAAATGATTGCACCATAAAACAGTGTTTTATATACAGTTTACAAGATATGATTTTCTGCTATAAATTAATACTGTACTATACTTAGTGACCTTATTAAAAGCAACTGTTGACAGCTGTCTCTTCAATTATTGTGTGGGTTTTTTTAAATGCAGATGGCTGCATCTATTTCTGGACTTAGAATGGTCAAGTATTTAATCAATCTACTCGTTAAATCTCTGCTATAATTTAATAATTCATAGCAATAGCACTGGCAGATCAAATAAATTTCCAGCCAGCCAGCCAGCCAGAGTCTGGGTATGCTCCAAGATAAGTGTTCATATTTTTTTTTTTATTAAATGATGATCCATTTAATCTAAGCCTAAATCACAGCAGGTCACATCAACTCAAAAAAAAAAAAAAAAAAAAAAATTTTGGAAAAAAAAAAAACCCCCCCCCCCCCCCCCAACATAATTCATGATCTAAGTATTTGTGAATACTTCAGCTTAGATACAGCAGATGGCACCAAAATTCAGACACACATCCAGCAGCTGAACCCTGCATTTCATCTCCACCAACATCACTGGGGACCTCAGACTGCCCATGCAGATGAAGGCTTAAATTAGAAACCAAATCATGTTTAAACCATTACTTCCAAGTAGGTGCCTGGCTGTATTTACAGATTAGTATACTTTCGAAAAATTTAGTGATCCGTAAACACTCCCTTCTACCTGTGAGCAAGCCGACTGGAAAAAAAGTCACTTACAGACCATACCAGTGACAAGTTTGTTCAAAAATGTCAAAAGAAAAAATACTTAATTCAGCAAATAACCTTTTCATATTAAAATACATTGGGAGGGTGAGTGGTGGAGGAGGACAGGGACCCACTAGGGTCTGAATGGCACACAGCTTAAAAGAATTGTGCAAACTGTCTTATCTTCAAACACTTAAGATTATCTGGTAAGTGATTATTTTGGAAACTGCTGTTTATACTTTAACAACAACCTCATTCTAAAATACATTTTCACTAACATTTTAGAAAAATGTCTGTTCAGTAATGCAGTTCTAGTAAGATCAATGAAACAGCACTTGAAACATACAATTTTTTTGTTTACATAATGAATCTCAAGTAAACCATGTATCAACTGGAAAATAAATACTGATAGTGCAGGCAGCTTTCTTGGGACAATAAATTGTAGTTTCTGCAAGGTTAGATTGAGTAGTGAATTAAGATGTCCATGGATTCAAAGGTTTATCTTTGTGTCGAAAAATAAAACTACCTTTAGTGAGGAGTATTTACTCCAAATTTGGGTGGCCCTCAAATCCACATTTAAAGTAACAAATTTAGCAAACAAGGCATATAGTACTTGAACAATTATATTGCTCCTTTTTTTTGTAAAGATGAATTAATACTCAAAATAAGTTCACCCATCTTTGCAGTAGAATAGTGTTTGCGTTACGTTAAACATTGCATTTTACATGTGCTAGAGAAATGCTTACCTATGGTAAAATACTGTGCTTGAACATGTACGAATGCTAATGTAACAGTGCAGTAGAAAAAGAGACTTTCTGTACAACAGTTGCTAATAATTTAAATAGTGTCAGTTTCCCAAAATTAGGATTTTAACTTTAAGGTATGACATGATCTCACCTTCTACCCTCATATACAAATAAATTACCATAAAAAGAATTTTAGCTTAACTTAAAATTGCACCTAGAAAGGCATGGGATTGTTTGTACCTATTACAAAAACTGTTAAAATCAAGGGCTGCTACAAAGAATGAGGTAAACTGAAGACTCTCAGCTATGTGGCCTTCAGAGAAATGGCTTTTTTCTATTGAGTTCTAGTTTTGCACACCACAGTGTTTTGCTAGCAAAGCGTTCTGAGTTCTTTTCCAGGAACCATTTGTGTGTATATACATATATATACATATATGTGTATACACACACACACACACATACACACACTGTATACTGCATCAGCAAAATATATATATATTTATATAAATATAAGGAAGAAATCCCCCTCTAAAACGTTCCTTAGTGTTTTTCTATAGCTTATGGGGGAGGAGGGGATGTATGTCTTCTTGCTGTTACATACATTTAGAGAACATGTTTTCATCTATTGGCTTCTTGGTGCAGTAATGCAACATTGATCCACATTGGTGCCAAAGGCTCTGCACATCAGAAGGAAGATGTAAAATACTAATCTCCTAAACAGCAAGGCCAGCCTCACTTTAATTCCTTTGCAACCTTCTGGTCTACCACAAAGTTCATAAATACTTTGACTTCCAAATCGTTAGACGTTAAAAACAGGAACAGTACAGTAACATGGGGCATTATGCTTCTCAGTGTAAAGCATTCTTCACTAGTTCCTATCACAGTGCAGACCTGACTGCATTAAATATGCTCAGGAGATTAGTCAACGTTGTCTGTATTTGGTTATGGGAAAGGCTCTCCTTTTTTTCATCCAAAGTGCATAGTGAGAACAAGTCAAAGCATTCCTCTTCTCAGTAAGTGTTTGATAGTCTGATCTAGGCATGCTCCTGAGAATGCAATTCTGACATCTTGCTCTTTTCCAAAATAAGTCCTGCAGTTCAGACATTCATCAGCCAGGTAAACAAACTTTGCCAGCAAATAGAAGTCCCACTATTGTAAAGAAAATGGATAAGACAAACAGTACATATGAAGACCCAACCACTGTGTTATTGGGTAATTTATATGGTTGACCTCCAACTTCATTGATGTAAAATCCTATTGGAAATATTAGGGCTGCCATACAGAATAGAATCACTGCAAAGAGAAAAGAAAAAATGGTCACTGCTGTGTTAAAGTCAAAATATCTACCCGTTCATAAAGCAGTCCTGAAAAGCAAGCAAAGTACTCTGACCAAACTGAAGAGCTATTCCAGTACCTAACTTGCTTGAAATGACTGAGTAGGCTTTATCTTGCTTTTAAAACATCCCTCATCTACTCCCAAGAAAGACTGAAACACCCCCATTTTGACTGTAATTTCAGTCCTGCTCACTCGATCATGAACTGTCTTTACATAATAAAAAATTGGTGGATGTACTTCTGCCACCATCCACAAGTTCAGTCATGGAGTTCATTACTTCTCCAGTTACTTTAGAGTCACTTTTCCCTAAAGTCAAGATAAACCAACATTCAACATTGAAGAAACTCATTTTCTATTATCAGAGTTGTCTTTTTCCAACTGTAGTTGCCCTTTCCCGTTCTTCCACATAAATTCCTTTTCTGTAAAAGTTTCCCTAAAAATAGAAAACACACAGATTGTCATTACAGATTCTTTTAGATTAAAATATGTCAGTTTCCTGAAGTTATATGAATGTTTCCTCAAGTAATGAAATATCCTTAAGATTTTGCATTGGAATACAAAGAAGGTTTTCTGATTCCGTTTAATCTAAGCTTCTTAGTGAAAAACTTCAGACTCCATGAACAAAGAGAACCAAGCAATGAGGCTTTTTATTTCATCTGAACAGTTAGACTTAAGTGTATGGTTTGTGCTTACAACCGACTCTGTGAATGTACAAAAAAGAAACCAGAACTCCCGTTAAAGCCATTCATTAGAAACTCACAGGCCTTCAGGTATCAATAGCGGCCAACATTCCTCACAGCACATTTCAGTACTGATCAAATCCAGGAGAGAACATCCAGTGTTGTGATCTTTCCCAGATGACAACTTCAGTGTTCCTATAACATACCTTTGGACAAGTAACCCTGTTTAGTTTGAACATAGCAATATGCAGGGTTCTATTGTCTCGACCTAGGGAATGCCTTCCAAGTATGGCTCCTCTAAGAGGCAAGACATTCTTCACAATAAAAAGGAATAGCTTTTGAAATGGTTTGATTGCATATGCAAGAATATACAGTTAGGGGGTTTTTATCAGTATTAGAGTAACACAGAACTTTATCTGATTCTACCAGTTCAGTCAACTGTTTGTGCTTTACTTTTATTTTACTTCTATGTATTTCAACTTTGTTTCAAACATTATTTATTATGAGTGGAACATGGCATCCCAATACCCATTCAAGCAAATATAAATTATATCTGGGGGAGAGATATCCCACCAACCCTACAAAGCCACATACCAACACGTCCTAACACGAAGCCTCTCCTAGTCCTCAAAATCTACCTATAAACTCAGCCACATGAAAAAGAAAATTCAAGCCAAGGTACAGTGCTCCTGCATGAATAAAGTGCATTACATGCTAATTTTTTTGGTCTTCTCTCAGTTAAGACAGACTGCTGATTTTTGTTTGTTAGTAAGGGACACAGGTGCTGTCCTTGTCTCCGCTTGCTCTTCTCCACCACTAAGAGACAGAACAAACTCTGGGGATGCTGCTCCCTACTTGACCTTCCCCACAAGTCAAACAAGCAACAGTAAGAAACACTGGCACCAGTAATAGCCATCACCTTAATCACTGGTTCCTGTGCAAATTAGCAGTAAAACAAACCCAAACAGTATGTAAAACAAATTCAGCAGCTGACTTGTCCCCTTAGGCCTCACCTGGACAAAGTCTTTCCAAATGAGGAAATGATGGGCTGGAGGAGCCTCAGTATGTTTTAATGTAACTTCACTACTACTCTTCCTAACTAAATACACATGCTCCAGTTTTTCCCACTACAGTGTTACATGCCCATACTAAAAACTTTTTCTTTACGGACTCCATATTTACCCAAGACGAACAGTTTATCACATATTCTATATATTACTGCTCAAAGCTTATGATTTGCATAGTACACGTCTCAGCTTTGGGGAAAAAACACTCATGTTCCGTAGAAGAGACTAGTTATGGGCATGACGAAAATTAATTCAAAAAGTGTCCAAGTAGGACTTGGGCAAAAGGACAGTTTCATAAACCATGATCCACATCAGAACATCAGCTGCTCCTTGCTTTCTGACACATGCAAAGCACCTTTCACAACACCTCCAGTCAGGAGCAGCTCCCACCGAGAGCAGCCTTTCTTTCAGGGAACAACACTGAGCAGCAGAAAATCAGATGTTCCTCCAGAGGGAGCTCGGGTCTTGCCTCTCAAGTAACCCAAGCTTTTAAAGGGGAAGGAAAAGAGCACAAACAAAAAACATCAGGCAACTGCATTGTTACATTTGTGCTCAGTGCTACCTCATTAGGCCAGCTATTAAAACAAAACCAAAGAACCAGCAACCAGACGTGAAACATTAAATAATCTAGAAGTTTTTAATCTACATGATTATTGGGCCACATAATTCAACACAGTACACAATCTAATCCTTAAAAAACCTTTTTGGTTGTATCTTAACCAACAGCTGGTCCATCTGAAGAGAAAAAGCTTGGGTATGTGTTTTTTGAGCAGATCTTGTAAGCACAGAAGAGCTATATACTTGAGTGGTCCAAAAACAGTGGTTGATATGTGATTAGTAAGCAAAATATAATTAATATTCTGAGGATGAGTCATATTATCATAACTCAGCATGCTTTCTATTACATCTAGTTTGTCCCTGATGAGCATTCCAGTTATTTACAAAACTTCTATTATATTTTAACAATAACACATTTTAACAATAACACTCTTATAGGAAATAGCTTTAGGATTCTGAACACACAACCTGCACTTTCAAGATTAAATCTCCTTTATTACATTCAAGAACTACACAGCTGGAAAAGTTCTGATGGCCCCATGGATATGGCTGAAGAATAGATCTTTATCCCTCTCTAATAAACCACTGTTCTTTGAGGAATGTTGTACATACATGCAGCAGTGCTCCTAGGTCTGAGACCTTCTAGCGGCACTGTACGATCAAGTGGAGTGTGTGCCCAGTGTCTTCTTGTGTTCCTGCCCGAGTACAGAAGGGTGCAGGTGCCTCAACTCTCCCTTAGTTCACAGCAAGAGAAAAAATAAATTCTGCACGTGCAGGCAGCGTGCAGAATGCTGACGTGCATGGCCATTTCAAACATTTATTACAGAAGTAACCAGCCATCTCTTCTCTTCCAAATAACAGTGCACATGTTCTGCTGTGAGGGTGCCCAAGCAGTTTTTCTTAATGCAGTCTGAAATTTTAGTCCACTGAAATAGCAAATGAAAAATGGATTCATCAAAATCTCTGTCAGATTAGGAAGCCTGAACTATGCCAAAGTTTTGAGAAGTCATTAAGAAAAGACTGCATGAATTTATTTTAAAAAAAAAGAAGAAACTAAGGAGAAAACCCAGACATGAAGTGCTCAGTTAACTTAGTGTGTATTCTTTTAGAAGGAGGTTTATAAGCTAGACGATAGGAACCTCTTACACCAGCTGCAGCCCAAATCTAACTCTCCGTATTTTTGAGTATTAAGTGAGTGAATTTCCAGCAACATCTCCAACTTCTCCCTCAAGAGTACTTGCTTATGATTTCAAATTCTTCCTTGGGTAGGAAAATTTACAGAAAAGACAATTACTACGATTTCTATTAACAAAAATATTTAGGTAACAAAGCAAAATCATTTCTAGTCTGGTTCTGAATGGTGGCTGTCAAAAAAGATCTAGTTCTTTTAATTCTTTAACTTGAAATTATTTTGCGCATGCAATGACAACTTCAAAAAATCCACAACACACTGTACTAAAAGAAGGAAAACCTATGGTACAGTCTTTAGAGGGGTCATTTTATTACCTGCTTGCCTCTTTTGAGATGTGTAACATGGAAAGCAGCACCGGGTGCAAATCTTTAATAACTCACGCAGCACTTTATTCATTGGGGAACACCAGGGACAGACGTTTGCAGCATAGCTGCTGTTAGTTAAGAATGTGATTATCCTGCCCCATTTTTACTTGCATTCCAAACAGCAAGTCCATTATACTCATGAACATTTAAATCCTCACACAAAAAGAGTAACAGAGTCTCTAGTAACTGCTAGGAAAAAAAGTAGAAATATGATTTTTCTGTCCAGCATCTCCTCCCTTGACACATCTCAGAGAAGCACCGAGTTCAGTGGCAGGAGAATTAACTCCCTTTGCAGTTGTAGCAGATGGTAAGAGACCTGAATCTGTGTAAGATGTAAACAGATCTTGTGGGACCTCTGTGAATTCCTGCAATAGCCAAGATTTTTATAACATACATAAGACCACCTAAGTGGCCTCTGCAGAAAATAAGCTCTGGACATTGTTTCTAATTATGGAACCTAACAGTATCTGTTACAAGGATCATGGAAATCACAACGTTTGAGATTTACTGTAGGTTCACCACATCCTGTCTTCTACACGACAACATGCATAACGGGCACCCTGAAAAGGCAGGGGGTTTAGATAAATTTGAATTAGGGCTAACACAAAAGGAGCAGCTTCAGAGATACAGGGCACAATACCAAAGCCGGGTTACTTTTTCTGGTACCAACTTACACCACTATGTAACTGGGCATAATTAGTGGTGAAGTGGTATAGAAGCTGGGATGGTAACAGGCTGTTAGCTCACGCCTGAGCAACAGGTCAATACCATGCAAAGGAATAGCTGATCAGGTCTTTGACTACTATTAGCACCCGCAGCACAGCTATGAGTTTGCAGGGCATCGTTCATTGAAGAAGCACACAAAGACCTGGTCAGTGCACAAATGAACACCAAGAAACAATCCACTCTCCACTACATTGTATGAATTTGATACTACAGTTAACAGGACTCAAACAGCAATGATAGTTTTGATAGTATCTATGCCCCAAGTGACGCCACCTATCACATTAGCAGGAATACTGTGATTCTTAAAAGACTCTTCTCCACAGAAAGCAAAGGGAAACTTTTGCATTTGCCTTTAGAAGACTTTTGTCACTCATGCGGTATGACCTGGAGGAGGGAAATATCTCTCCTCTCCACAACGCTGTTTTGCATAGAAGCCAGAAAGACATGTTTTTATTCAGTAAAACCACCAATGGCTGGGGAAGGATGCAAATACTGTGCTAGTAAATAATCTCTCAGGTGTATTCTTTTATAAGTGTACACAGGACAAAGAACTGACAGATCAAACTTTTGTCCTTCATGTGTCCCTTAGCTAAGCAACATAGACAAAACCACTGTCAGCAATAATTTATAGATGCGAGGTTGAAAAATCTGGAGTCATCCAAGATGACAAGACTACAAGCAAAAATTCAATGAAAAATAGAAGCTATGTATTTATATATATTATATTCTAGCATGAACTGGGCAACAGCAACCTCTTACCAGGCTCTCCTTGCTGCTGTCAGAGTTGCAAGGAAAGGGCTGAGTAAGACAATTCCTTTGCCCTTAGATGACTTACTCTAGACCCCCTTGCATTTGAAGAGAATGTCAGTCCCAGAGCTGCCCTTGGCAGAGCCAGTAGACTTCCCTGCCTGCCTAGGACAGCACCTCCTATGGCATGTTCAGAAAGTTCCGTGAGAAGAGTATGTGCTAGCAGCCTGTGCTAGACTGTTGACTCCTGAAACTGCTAAGAGATGTAATACAACTATGAAGTTTTCCCTACTCCCTTCTAGCGAGTTCCGAGTATGGTATTCCAAGCTGATTCCACATGGTTACATGTTTCCTAATACTAATCTACAAACAGGTTACTAATTTGTTTTGCCATCCAGTGAATCACAGAAGTCACTCTCATCAGGTTTTTGAAAAATACACAACTCTTCCTCCTGTTCACTTCTTCTTTTCAAAAGTGATTTCTCTCATGAGTGAGCTAAGCAATAAAATTTCCCATCATCATTGTTAACAGGAATGCAAAGGTCACAGAGTCGTATGTATTGGAGATGAATACCAAAGACACTGAATTTTAGAATTTTGGCAACGCAGTAATCATATTTTAATAGAATTAGAAATAATTCTGACTTGAAAAAGAACAAATTAGTATGTTTCATTATTAAACATCTCATAACAAAAATGAAAGTGCTGAAATAAAAGCATGTTCTTCTATATTTAAGCTTCTAATAATGGACCTCTTGCAAGCTTAAAGAAATCTACAGAAGAAAAACCAGCTTTAGGGTATCAGATTTTTTGGCTGAACTAACCATCACAGTTGTCACAGATGTGACGACTGGAGATATTTAAAAAAAACATTAAAATATGGAAAGTCCAAAATACAAGCTCTGAACTAAGGAAAAAGCCTCAGTAAATAAATTGTGGCATCAACTACTAGTATATAATACTACAAACCCCCTCTTTACTCTAGAGTTTTGACTTCAGCTCACTGTAAGCATCTTAATTTTATACCGCATTTTGAGTTTAAACCCTCCCTGCATGCATTAGATATACATGAAATATGTATAGATAAACAAGGGCACTTGAAAAGTTAGGATGGAATATTTGGTAATGCTCATCTCTGCTATTTTAAATCATTCACTGGAAAATAAATAAAAGTCAATCACAACAGATACTGCATTTCAATAGCTCCATTGTCTGCAAGAGCTGCACTATTAACTTAATATGCCATGTAGCAAAGTTGTCAGAAGGATGGCTTTGATTGCAGAAGTGCCTCAGTGAAGTACCTTTGTTGAAGCTGAGCGCTTTTTTACATTATTCCCTCCCCCCAAAACAAGGTTAAATCTCATTCATATTAGAGATCATTAGATTTCATAGAGTTCCATTAAACCTTATTTATGCCTGTGTAAAGCACAAACTTGCATTTTCTAGTTAGTGTTCACACTACCTTTAGTGGTATGTCATAATTCAAGTCAATTTAAAAGCCCTCAGGTTTTGAGTTTTTTCATGCTGTCATCCCCACCATTAACGCACCATTTCACAGTTGGGCTAAGCCTGTAACACACACCAAGAAAAAGAAGTTTGAAAGTTATTCCCCTTACTCATTATAACTGTTTTTCTTTTGCACCAACTTAGCCATAGAATATGTTTCCCTGTGCAGAAACACAGGGCTTCTAGAGAAGGCTCAGCTGAGAGGAGTTAAGCTGGTGCTCATACAGAGCAGAATCAAGGGAGGCAGACAAACACTAGTACTCCTCCCTCCAGGTAAAGCACTGCTGCAGGTCACTCACGGAAGCAGACGTCTCAGTGCTGCGAAGCACAGCAGATGCTCTGCAGTGGGCAATCCTCCTGCATAGCCAATTAGGATGCAGATATTCTGAATAAAACACCCGCTGTGAGCATGAAGCAGAACTGAACCAGCATCAACCCTGAATGAGGTATTCATGAGACACCTGAAGTAGGGGTGGATTTCAGACTGTAGTAAGTCTCACACTCATCAACTGTTTCCTCTTCCTTGGGGAGGGAATTTTCAGTCATGCCATTCTGCTAGGAGGAAGTCCTGGATATACGGGAGTGAGGAGTATGAAAGACTACCAGACACACAATTCAAGACTGACCTCTTCTATCGCTGCTCATTTTCTTAGGTCAATTAACGCCACTGCCCAAGGAAGGTACAGGGGTCGCTTCTTCCTTTCTCTCACCTTGGGCCCACAGACTGTTCATCCCCTCTCCATCATAGTCCCTTAAGATACCAACCAAGATTTTTGAAGAATTTTATTTTTCCCTCAGATGTGGTATTTAAAGAGAAGGAATGTTTTGTATAGTAAGAGCCCTAAGCACTGCTCCTTGACAACACTGTAGTGTTATTTTAGGCTCCACCAGTTTATCCTGCATACAGGTCAACTGTGTAGTTGAGGTCACTTACTTCCAGTGAAAGCTATCCAGCGGGCATATTTAGTAGCTTCTCTTCGCCAGTGGGAAGCCACCAGCAAACCACATGTGACAGTTAGTGAAATGATTCCCATAATGATGAAAAATAACGTAGTGACCCACTCAGGAGGCAGCCGTGGAGGAATACAGGTCCTGTCACGTCCATGGATGGTTTGACACTGTCGCACAAGGCCAACTGTGAGAGCACCTGAAAATACATAGCAGAGAGGCAAGTAAACTTTCAAAATCCTCTCTGAGGGGTGCTCAATTGCAAATCAAAGCTCAGAATTGTGCAAAAATAAGGGATTCTTTTTTTTTTTTTTATGAACTTTAATAAGCCTTTCAAACATTCGGGGGCAGGCATGCTTTAAACACCTATCTTCGTGTTTTTTCATCATATGCTTGCACAAGTTGAAGTAAGATGGCTGGAAGCTGCATCTGGTTCTTTACTGGCAATCAAGGTCTAATCAAAGGGATAAAGCACTCCTATAAAGCCTGTCAATATCAGCTACAGTGGTAGCTGAGTTGTACAGAGGATCACTCCTTCATCTGTGCAAGCTGAAATACTTTTTATAATCTAAAAAAATGAGTTGCAGCCTCCTAAAATGCCTTTACTTGTCTAATGCCTTTTTCCCTCATCTGTAAATACAGCTTTAATCCTCAAAGTCTTGCAGCAGAAATGACATATAATTCATACCAAGATTTTAAGAACACTGAAAGAAACCCCCCCACTTCTTGATGGTAACTCTTTATTTAAAGAGTCCCTCAATGCAAGAGACTGGTCAATCCTTTTGACAGCTAACAGGTTACTACATGCACAAACTGGGATATCTACAGCAGAGATCTATCAAAAAGATCCTAGAAAAAGGACAAGACTGGTACAGGACTTAAAGTCCAATTCAGTGCTTTTGAGAAGAATAAAGAAGCTTTTAGTAAGCATTAATGGTAGAGTTCTCTTTATTTGGAAAATTTTAACCCAGAATTAACATGCAAGATTAAAATCCATTTCTTCCAGTGTCTCTTAAACATTAAGTCCTATATTTCTCAATTTAGTCACTTCTTCTGAACTGTTTTCCTAAATAAACACAATTGTCCTGTATCTAAATTAGGAGCAAAAACCAACAGTGGATAATATTAGAGTCAACATCTTCCTCCACAAATTATTGTAAGTATTTTTATAGTAGACCTTCTTAAAATAGAAAGAGGGCAACTTAGAAACAATTACAGTAAGATCTGGAAGCTTAGATTTAGCATGTCTTTTGGAGGGAGAAAAAGCTGTCATACTTTTTAGCTTCTTTAAAAAAATAGAAGCATGAAACAAAGAAGTAAGCCAACAGGCAACAGGTTAACCAGTCCCAGCATGCACCTCCTAGCACCCTGGAGCCAACTTCTACAAGTGTTCAGATCCTGCCTGCTTACACCTCAGCAGTATCAGCAGAATCAGCCTTTCGAGCTTACAATCTTTGGGTTAGGAGGCAGAGTATCATGTTTTATTAGATGCAGCACTTCTGATACACTCCTAGAGATGAGAATAACCAAGAGCAAAACTATTACTGTATGGTTGTGTTGAAGCATTCCTGTAACCTTTGTTTAGCCTACAAATTTTAGCCCTATTCAAATACATCCTTTTAATTACATATTAATATAATTAATGTCCTTTTAAAAAGTGACAGTTACAAACCCAACAAAACTGGCATTTTCTGCTCCAGACATACAGCAATCACAGCACTGTTGTGCACCGGGATTACACAAAACTGAGCCAGAATTCCACAAGCAATCTTGCACAGCTCGCATACCTGCACAGTACACAGTTTTACATGAACTGCTTCTCTGCTGCTTTTTCATAGCCTGCAATGTTTTAATTTCACACCAGCTGCTGGGGCAGAGGCGACATGTGCATGTGTCCTTAAAAGTCAGGCTCTCTGAAACACACATGCATTGCAGAACCTCATACAAAACACTACGTAGTTTCCTGTAGTTTGGGGATAAAGAGGCTATTCACTGCAGTATCACAGAACAGGAAATTAATCCCAATCACTCTTGAAGACTAGGATTTATCAACAATTTTACTACACTTACAGTAGAAGTCAGTTTTTTCTAAACTGCAATTCTAATCTAAAGAATGACTTCATTAAAATGACATCACACACTCAATAGATGTTTTCTGAACTCAAGAGACCTCTCCTGAATTCAATGACAATGATTTAGTGCATTTCTAACTTTGGCAAAAGCAACAGTGATAAGAACCACTGTGCTGGACTCCGTTCCACTTTGTATGTTAACTGAAACTGAAGAACAGTTGCTATAGATGCACATGCTTTAGAAAGAGACAACTAACTCATCTTGCAGATGCAATTTGCAGTTTACATTTAAGACATTTTTCAATTAACAAGAGCACTTTTAACATGTCAGATTCAAAGAGGACCAAAGCAGTGCCATATTGAGAGGAAACAGAAGAGAACTCGATCTTGAACTACTATTTCTCCATGCAATTTTCTTTGCTGTCAACATCTACTTCTCTGAAGGCTGATTTTCTCAAAAAAACCTCAGCAAACCCACAACTGTAAATGAAGACGAAAGAGAACAAAAATCGCTGGATTGCAAGTACCAGGGTAGCATCCCTTTTGAAGACACAAGGATAGCTGCAAGAAACTACTCAGAGCAGGGTTTCCTAAACATTTCTGGTGCCCAAGTGTGTTGTTCCACTCTTTTTTTTCTTTTTTCTTTTTTTAACCAGAGTTTTAAAGTGTCAGCAATTAAATTTCAGGATCTGCCATTTTGGAGGAAAAACGCTGAACTTCATGGTTAAGCTTTTGCTAGCACATACTTAGTATTTTCTCTTAACTCTGCTTCATGGATTACACATTTGAAGTAGAGATACCACATATTCAAGGTTTTGAACTTTGAGTCTGCAGACTCTAGGGAGGCAAATGCAGGGCAAGAAAAGGTTTGTGAACTATTTCTAAAGGTTTCACAAAGGTAACTGGCAGAAACAACCTTATTATGTGCTCATAAATTTAGTTAAAGTTCAAGTCTATTATACAGGGTTACCTCACGTGCACATAAACTGGGCAGAAGGAAATGAAAGCTCATAGTTTGCTCCCATAGTGACAAATTTCCTGTTGAATGCAGACTTCAAAAGAAGTCTCTGGTGTGGAAAAAATAGTATTTATTTGCCATAAAATTCCAAAGAAGAGTGGGTTTACATGGTATTTTATTGTCTTGGTCCCATTCTAAAGCAATCAAGCAAACAGTTGCCAGGCAGCTGCCAACAAACTAACTAGTTACAGAAAATCTTCTTTAACCTTATCTAGTCTATCACTGAAAGGTGGGACAGAGATACTGTCTCCTTTGAACAGTCTCCTTCAGCCCAACAGTCCATCTCAAGCCAGTCACCATGTTCCACTCTGATGCCTATGTAAAAGAGGTTTCTAGTCATTTGCTCAGAACAATTCCAGCATAATCGCTGAAAATCTAAGCACCTAACACAGGTATAAAACAAACAACACAGTTAATGCTAGTAGATTAGGCAGCTTAAAGATGGATACAGCCCTAAAAGACGTGCAGGGGAGTAACCACACCTGTCCATCATCCACCTCCCAGTGCCCACACTGCACAGCCATCGCGAACTATAATGACAACCTGGAGATGCAGGGACTGCTCCCTTTCTCTTGTCTGCCTCTCCCTCCGTAGCAATGAGACTGGCATTATGCAGGGCAATACAGCTAGTGCAAGAGGTGATTAGGATATATATTCTAATTACTAAAAATGAGATTCAACCTTCATCAAAACAGAATGCTGCACTGAGCAAATGTCAGTGAAGTGGTCCTTAGTCTTTTCCAGTAAATCTATTCCCTAAAGTGCCAGTGCATTTCAGACACATTAAACAACCCTCCAGTAGTGACAGTCTGACTAACCAGGACTCCAGTTTATACGAGTGAAAGATTACATGATCATATTCCTACACTACCTCACCCAATTCCTCCAGACCACCAGTAATGTTCATTTTCTGACATACATATTTTTACTAGAATCAGTAATAAAAAGACTCTTTAACAAATACACCAACATTTGGGAGCATCCCTTGTTTAACAATTAAGTTTCATAAAACCATTGAGGGAACGAGGGGAAAAGGCACCAACCCAACGAAGGGCAAGCCCTCATTTTTCCCCTTTGTGCAGATGTGCAGCTGCCATGGAGTCGACCCACAAGTCCCACTCCAGCCCCGCCAGTGCTGTGCCATCCCTCTCCCGTTTCCGTGGTAACTACAGAGCCACCAAGGAGGAATCACAAGCTAGCGGGAGACACAAAGATTGCTGCAGCCCTTTCACTCCCCCACCTCTCCATCACTCCCGAATTATTAAAAGTGACACAGCAATACCACAGCTGGAAAGCAGTAGCATAATAATGGTTATTCAGATGTTTGCTGTTCATCTATTATTTGATTGCCAGAATGTGCAGGATCAAGTGTGCCAGATGGACACAGGAGAGGTGCCACTGCCGTGAAGAGCTTACCACAGCATAAGAAGCAACTAATATGGTAAAAGCACAATGCAATGAACAAGGTGGGGCTCAAACATCAGAAGGTCACAGAGCTCAGCAGCTATGCTGTCACATGAACATAGAAAGCACAAATCCTCAGAACTGCTCTTGCTCATTACAGCTTGGGGTACCTGCTCATCCCCTACTGTCCTTGCTTGAAAATGTCTTTACTCTTTCCTCTCATTTTAGAGAAAATGCTATTCCTTGGGTTTAAATGCATCTGCAACTCTTTATATTCCTTGACAACAGCTTCCTCACTTCTACCTTCCACATATCAACCACATCCTTAGCAAAATGCTTATTAGTAACATTAAATAAATATTATGGGCCAATATGCCTAGTGAGGAGGTTAAAACATCCAACCACTCCCAGACAGCCTGCTCGCTCTCCCTCCCTCCCTCTTCACTGTCTTTATGAGACGGTGGTGTTCTGCTAGAAACCCCAGTTGTGACTGCCAGACAATTTCTGCTCAAACAAGATACTTTTCTTTAGTGTACTGTGGACTTGTTAAACCATCTTTGCTAAGCAAAGAGCACAGTTTACAGGGTTCCTAATGAGGTGTTGGTGACATAATCTTGAAGCACCGCCAATGTGGCAAGGACACTGATAAGTTTTATGTTTTAGTAATGAGCACAGTACATGGAGCTATGTTACTTGGGCACACTA